TTTCCTCAACCTGTCATTAATGGTCAATATCTATGTAAATATAAAACACTGTAGCAAAGTCACTAACTATCCTTTTAAATGATCAAGATGGCAAATAAGTATTGAGATGTCTACACCATGCTTGCTCTCAAGTTTAGCATATGAAAACAGCTTACTTTTAATCAGATACTCATTTGAACATTTTAAAGGAAAACTCCAGGTTTGACTGAAGCTGAGTTTATATGAAAAAAAGTGTTTTATCAAACGTAAATAACCCAACGAGATTTAAATTAACTCTTCTAATAATGAAATACGGTTTATTAAATTTGATATTTTCACAATATCATGGTAGACGCCATTTGTCAGTACTCTTCTAATAAAAGACAGATTCGGTGCCAATTATTCTCGTTGTTTATTGTTTCAAACCGATAAGCCCCGAAGGTCTCGTGACGTCACACAGTCTGTTTGGTACTGAAGCAGTGTGGATAAACATATCATTAAAATATTTTTTTACTTCGCTATAATTAAACATGATTCGCTGAATGTTTCAATAAAGATGCCGTCTTGCCAAGCATTTAATTGTACTAACGAAAAGGGGAAGTGTACAAAAAGGTTTTTTGTTATCCCTGATCCTTCAAAAAGTGCAGATAAAAAAAACTTTGCAAACAATGGATCTCGAACTTGAAAAATGGTAAACTGCAAATAGAAAATTTTAAATATAACAGTAGCAAGGTTGTTTGTGAAGACCATTTCACGCCCTATTCATTCGAGAGAAACCTGGTCAAAGAATCTTTGAACTTCTTACCAAAAAGAAAATATTTGCGACAAAATGCAGTGCCGACAATTGTCAACACTGGAATGGACACCAGAAAAACACAGGAACGATCGACCAATTCTACACAATAACGTCGAGGTGCACAGGTTAGTAAATAATAAAATGCTCCGCAGGGCGCAGCTTGATACGACCGCAGAGGTCGAACCCTGAACAGTTGGGGCAAGTATGGACACAACATTCAAGCTTGATACAGCTCTGAATTTGGATTGTGATTAAATATTTGACACAGCATAGGTTTCTGACACAGATATATGTGGTCTAAGAACTTAAAAATTTTAAATTGGACATTCACCTATTATGGTCCAATATCCAAAATCTAAATACATGGTTAGATTCAGCATATCAAAGAACCCCAAGAATTCAATTTTTGATGAAATCAAACAAAGTTTAATTTTGGACCCTTTTGACCTCAATGTGGACAAAGTTGATAACGGGGCCCAAAAATCAAAAATCTAAATACATGGTTAGATTCAGCATATCAAAGAACCCATATATTCAATTTTTGTTGAAATCAAACAAAGTTTAATTTTGGACCCCGATTTGGACCAACTTGAAAACTGGGCCCATTATCAAAAATCTAAATACATGTTTAGATTCAGCATATCAAAGAACCCTAAAAATTCAATTTTTGTTAAAATCAAACTAAGTTTCATTTTGGACCCTTTGGACCTTAACGTAGACCAATTTGAAAACGGAACCAAAAATTAAGAATCTAAATACACGGTTAGATTCGGCATATCAAAGAACCCCAATAATACAATTTTTGATGAAATCAAACAAAGTTAAATTTTGGACCCTTTGGACCTCAATGTGGACCAATTTAAAAACGGGGCCCAAAATCCAAAAACTTAATACATGGTTAGATTCAGCATATTAAAGAACCCCAAGAATTCAAGAATAAAACCCCCTTGAAATTGATCAAGAAATAAGCAATTAATACGAAGTATCTTCTTTTGCACAATACTGTGCAATTGAATATTTCTTGCTATTGCGCAATACTGTACAATTGACAATTTCTCGCTATTGCGCAATATTGTGCTATTGGATATTTCTTGCTATTGCGCAATACTGTGCAATTGAAGATTTCTTGCTATTGCGCAATACTGTGCAATTGAAGATTTCTTGCTATTGTGCAATACTGTGCAATTGAAAATTTCTTGCTATTGCACAATACTTATTATATAATAATTTACACATCCTGTTTGGTGTGTATCTCCTACCATATCATTATTATTTGCTTTTAAATATTAATCAGAAATAACCAACTTAAAATGGGAAATTTTAAAAGAAATAAAAAAGGAAAAAAAGAAAAAAAAAGAAAAAAAAAATCCCCTCCCCATATTTTTTGAACCCCCTTATGATTTATCACCCCCAAACTCAATCCCAGCCTTCCCTTTGTGGTATGGTACCTTGCAGTACAATTTCAGAGAGATCTATACACTTGAACACAAGTTATTGTCTGGAAACTAGAAAAATGCTTATTTTTGGCCCCTTTTTGGCCCCCAATTCCTAAACGTTTCGGGCAATTACCCCCAAACTCAATTCCAGCTTTCCCTTTGTGATATGGAACCTTGTAGTACAATTTCAGAAATATCCAAACACTTACACACAAGTTATTGTCATGAAACTAGAAAAATGCTTGTTTTTTGCCCCTTTTTTGGCCCCTAATTCCTAAAATTTTGAGGCAATTACCCCCCAAAATCAATTACAGCCTTCCCTTTGTGATATGGAACCTTGTGGTACAATGTCAGAGAGATCTATATACTTACACACAAGTTATTGTCTGGAAGTTACAAAAATGCTTATTTTTGGCCCCTTTTTGGCCCTTAATTCCTTAACTGTTAATACCATAACCCCCAAAATCAATCCCAACCTTCCTTTCGTGGTATTGAACCTTATGGTAAAATTTCATGGAGATCCAGTCACTTAAACTAAAGTTAGAGTGCGAAAACCAATGTGTCTTCGGACGACGCCAGACGACGACGACGACAACGTCATACCAATATACGACCAAAAAATTTTTAATTTTTGCGGTCGTATAAAAATAATATTTAAAAAAAGAATCACTTGTACTTGGTTTTATCGTCATACACAAAATTAAAACTATTTCCACGTGTGCAGTAATGTGTGTGTAGTATCATACTATCAGGTTGTTTGAGGTCATTTTTAATATGCGTGTGATTGTATGGAAACATTAAAACACAAAATGTCCTTAAAATAATACAGACAGACGTATGTAAGAGCACAAATAGGTCAACATTCCAAAAAAAGATTTTGCACATTTATTATAATTAAATATAACACTTATCTTTTAAATTGCTTGTATCTTTTGTACATAAGGTATGAAATTACATACTATCAACTTCCTTGATGGTAAAACTATGTCCTAAGAGAATACCTGCGATATTAACACCTGTTGTAGTATCAAACACTACAATTTTATACATGTTTAAGGTGTAACTCACTGACCTAAATCCAACCTCAACAAAGCTTTGGATTATAGGGCCCAACCTCCATCTGGCTTATTTGAGTCAATAAAACTTTTGAAGTTTATACCCATAAATTAGTTTCCATGTATATCAAACACACTTATCAAGATTATTTGATGATAGAAAGACTTAGGTGGGGATAAATACTGAGGAGAATTTAATTTATATTTTACAGACTGCAACATATATCAACACAGATTATTCAAAGGTTTTTCACATGAAAAACATAGACATCTGATAAATGTGCACTAGATAATAAATCTCATAAAATAAGGGAAATATAAATAAATTCAAATGCATAGTTGAAACAGTTCGTTTATAACTGTACTTGATTTTCAATTTATTGAAAAGTGTTTAGGCTATACATTGTGTAGGTTTAGTTGAACTAATTAATATATAATACTGTGGATTCATTATTACTCGTTGGATACCAATTTTCGTAGGTTTCATGGGTACAGATGTACCACAAACTTAAATGTTCAATGATGGACAAGGTTAACACTTAATGCCCCCCCTCCACTACGGCTGGGGCATAAATATTGTTAAAAAACTCTTTATCTTAGTACCCCTTCTTTATACATATCACCTAAAGTTTTATTACTACTTTTGGTAGTGAAATACTGTAAATTCAGAAATTATTGCGAGGTTTTTATTAATGCGAATAATGCGACTGAGTATCGCAATAATAAGAACTCGCATTCTGATATCAAATACATATATCTGTATGTAACTCTTCCTAAAATCGCAATAATTAAACTCGCATTTTTGTTAATTCTTCAAAAATCGCAATAATAAATACACGCAATTATTTCTGAATTTACAGTACTGAAAAATATCTTTACTGTTATTCAAAACATGACTCTACTATAAACAATTTACAGTGAAATAAAATACTGAAATTTTTTTTTTTTTTAAATCTAAACCAATAATGAACATTAATCTGACAGATCAAAGACAATTTTGTATGTTGGGACAAGTGAAATAAATCACAGAGCAATGTTACAATAATGCATATATTGCAGTAACATAATCAAGGCACACAGGATAGAACTAGAGAAAAAAAGGCCTCAAAGTGTTCTACAGAACCCCGTCCAGAGGAGGATTTAGAGGGGGGAAAATGTGGTAGATTATATAGGGAATCACTGAAGCATGACTAGAGCGGGCCCTCTTTTAGGCAGTCAGTGCCCCCCTCTTATGATTTGATTGATTGTTGGTTGCTTAACATCCAGTGGAAAATATTTCATGCATATTCAGGACGACCCCCCTTTATGAAAATTTCTGGATACGGCACTGCCGTCAGTGTAAAGGTGTACAATAGACTGCTAAAACTAAGTCCATTTATCAGTTAAGCATAGAAAAATATAAAAGATTCAATTTTTTTCTTTCAGCTGATTTATATTGAACATGAAGCTTTCATCAAAACTTTCTCACATTTCATGAAGATTTAACAAACTTATTGATGTCTATAACTTTAATCCCAGACTGTATGTAAATGTTAACTAAAAGAAAGTCAATCCATTAGTAAAAAAAAAACATTACTGTCAAGCTGCTGAACAAATATGTAGTCATTCTGTTGGGTAGTAACTCAGAAAAGTGACAGAAATAATTTTGGATGAAGAATTGACAAGGTGAATGCAATTTAGTCTAACTCTAGGAGTGGGGGTTTAAAATCAATATCAGAGGTAATCTAGACTAACCTTCCATCCTTTTGTGCTGCCCCTCCTTCTGTTAAAGTTTTAATGAAAATTCCTAATTTTTCTACCCCAGAATCAGCTCCAACTCCCATTCCAATAATACTAAGTCCAAGGCCTTCTGGACCTGCAAAAAACAAACAAATGAGAACTCTGATATCTGATTCTTAATTTCATAATCAACAGGAACTCTTAATGTAACAAATGACTGTTCTAGTTTGACTATTTCAAATATAATCGTCTCTACCATGGTTTACATTTCTATTTTGTATATTTATTTTTTCCATTCATTTCTAAGGACAATTTCAAAAATGGTGTTGCATTATGGGAACACCACTTTTTTAGCGGTCTGACTGATCCTATCGTTATAAGGACATAGAGACCGAATATAATTCACAAGGAAGCTATATTTTAGAATTGGTCTATTACTTAGGTCTCATATTTTACTTGTAATGTTCAAATTAATCAATCACTGGAAAAATATGCAAATTTTCAAATACAGGTAGAGCAGATATGTTTTATCTCTGACAAAGGTACAAAAACATTTACATTCTTTTTAAGAAATTATAACTACGAGTTTATCTATCTATTCTTCAGTGTCAAATAACATATCTTTGAGATTTGCTGTGTATAGTAAAATGTATGAAATACATATTATTCTTAGCTTAGATCAAAAGAAATGATTTAATTTTCAATGAAAGGGGTTGCATCTATTTGCCCACTGTACAAAGTTTTTTTTTTTTTTCATGAGTTTGAAACTATAGCAAAAGAAATACTGACCCTTCATAAGGTCAACAGGAAATACATCCATCTTTTCCACCCTCTTTTCCAGTTCATATTCTGCAGAAGCCGCCACGGGATCTACATCTTCATTCCTCCTGTCGTATTCCTCTGTGGAAAATGTTGGAAATACCTGGAAATTTATTGAACATATTTTAACAGACATTTCTATCTGAGTATTAATATGTTGCCATGAACTGATAAAAACATTTAAAAACATGCAATTAGGATAATTTATTTTTAGCTTCCTTGATAAAAAAAAACAATATTGGTATTACTTCCTCTACATATCTATTTATTAACAATGCTAAATTCTAATGTTACCGAGTAAAAAAACTGACTTGTCTCCCTTTGACCAACAAATGACAAACAGTTGACATGAAAAGTAATTCCTGTATATTTGATGATCAGCAAATGCAAATAGCAAAATTTCCTCAAGGACCAGATATTTCATTTCGGAATTTCAAATAAGTTTTGAAATCTGCATGGTTCATTCTTGCTTAACATTGTGTTATGAAATCACAAATATATTATGCAATTATTGGCTGCCATAATTACCCAAATGGGTTGTTTTCTAGATTTAATTTCACAAAATTTAATTTCACTGACTGGTTTATCTTGTAATACTTGCCATAATTGGTTGTGTACTAAATCTAATTTTATTGGCTGGTTGACACTTTCCTAAATTCGCCATTTCAGAATCTAATGCTTTCTGGGTAATATTTTCAAACTATACCCCAAACGTGATTGGTTAAAAATTCATAAATAATGGAAATTTAACTAATGACGTGACGTTATTTTCATCTTGGGGAACGCACAATAAAATTACCCACAGGTCCTTTAGATTCTGAAACGGCTAATCGGTTGTTTACTGAATTTAATTTTACTTGCTGGTTGACACTTACCCTAATCGGTTGTTTACTGAATTTAATTTTACTGGCTGGTCGACACTTACCCTAATAGGTTGTTTACTGAATTTAATTTTACTGGCTGGATGGAAGAAGCATTCATCCACGTCAGAATCATCACTGCTACTCAGGCCAGATATTTCTAAATAATCTATTATTTCTTCTTTATCATAATCTGAAAGAAAAAATGAAATGAAATATTAAATAAATCAATATTTACCCGGATTTTCTGTCCAGTAAATTTTAAGGATTATATTGTTATATTGCTACATGAATTAATGGTATTTTCAATTTCAAATAAATAATAATTAAAATTTCCAGAGAAACACATATAATTATTAAAAACATTTTCATTCACATTGTTGTCTTGGACAGCAACTCTTCAAGAATTGCAGTGACACCATTTATGGTACCACTTTTACTACACCAGATCGGGATTTCGACAAAAAACATCTTTTCAGTAACGCCCGAGGCCAAATAAATATTTAAAATCTTAAATCCAAAATTACAAACACTGAAGCCAAATGTTTTTATTTAACAGAAGTTGGTAAAATAAGGTGCAGAATGATAAAATGATCCAGAGACATGTTTTATTTTGGCCTTTAAGTAACATGCCAATTTCCAACAATCAAATCTTCTACGGACAATAAGTAACTTGAAATATCTAAGTATAATAGAAATATCTGCCGTTATCAGAAATAAGCCAACGACAGCCAAAGCTTGACAGGTTGAGCAGATGTTTTTTTTTTAAGTTGAAGTCTTCAGTCTTTTTGTGTTGTTATGTTTGTGTCTCATTGTTGTACACATCTCCTCCATCTAATTCATTCTATATCTATCTTGGATGTCAAAGGCTGTCAATAAGAACAGATATTTGGCACTTACAATTGTTTCATACTTAATTACTGTTATAAGACATACAGATCCTAAAAGATTCCCAGAGATGTTTAGAGCTAACCATTCTTTAGAACACCAGTAGAAACAAAGATTCCCAGAGATGTTTAGAGCTCACCATTCTTTAGAACACCAGTAGAAACATTTGTTGACAGTTTACAGATACAATAAACATCTGTAGTTACTTTCATAATCAAAGTCAACATTATGTTTATGTATGTTACTTAATCAGAGTGAAATCGGCTGTTTTCTTTATCTTTTTCCTGTAATTGTTTCTTGTTTCAATGAGTGCAAGTCAATATGAATAAAAAGAGAAACCAACAAGCATGCACAGATTTCTGAATTAACAGTAGTCTTCAATAATAGTTATGCTAAGTGTCTATATACACATGTCAAGCTCTTATTTGCCTGGGTCTTACTTTAGACAAGGTGCAAATACATCAAACAAAGACTATATATTCGTTACAACATCTTGAGACAAAATTTAAAAGAACCTAATTTATTACAATAATGCACATGGTTTATTGTCTCTCAAAAAAATCTAGTCTATCATGTAGGATTTTTTTCTTTTTCATTAATCAAGACAACATTGTTTTAAAGTTGAGTTATTTACTCAACATATCAGCTGCTGAGAAAACAGTCTGTCGTTCCCAGGGAATGGTGGATATAAACATGAAAAAGGTACCAGAGGCTTAAGGACTAGGAAAGAACCATAAGAGAGACCCTTTTTAGACATTGTGTTGTCAATAACTAATTTAACAAGAAAGACAATAACTCAATTATATAAAATAAAAAAAGAATGTGTCCATAGTACATGGATGCCCCACTCGCACTATCATTTTCTATGTTCAGTGAACCGTGAAATTGGGGTCAAAACTCAAATTTGGCATTAAAATTAGAAAGATCATATCATAGGGAACATGTGTACTAAGTTTCAAGTTGATTGGACTTCAACTTCATCAAAAACTACCTTGACAAAAAACTTTAACCTGAATCGGGACAGACGAACGGATGGACGCTTGAACGGACTGATGCACAGACTAGAAAACATAATGCCCCTACTACTAGGTGTGGCATAATTACCTGCTATATCTGTTGTGTCGTTGAGTACGGTGTCTGGTTCCTCATGCCCATCTCCTGCTTCTCTTGGTGGGATCTCTTCTGTCAGAACTGGACTGGTTTCCTCCTTAACTTTATCTTCAACATAAACAGCAGCTCTACTTCTAGTGATAAAAAGTTAAACAGCTGTCAAACATAATATCTATAATTTATTCTTAGGGAATATCAAGTATCAATACACAAAAGTTAAGTTTCATATCATATCTATAATTAATTCCTCAGGAATATATTAAGTACTAACTGTAAAAAGTTATCAGTTGACTTTCTCCGTGAAAAGAACAATGTTGCTTAAATCAACGTCATTTGGGCGTTTGAGGATACAGTTGTCTTATAGGCATTCATACCATCTCACCTTATTTCCTTATTACCTAAAAATTAGGTTCCATATCATATCTATCATTAATTCCTTAGGAATATTTAGTTCTAACTGTGAAAGATTTCAGCCGACTTTCTCCCTGCAAAGAACAATGTTGCTTAAATCCACGTCATTTGGGCTTTTGTGGATAGTTGTCTCATAGGCATTCATACAATCTCTCCTTATTTCATATGACCTAAAAGTTAGGTTCCATATCATATCTATAATTAATTCCTCAGGAATATTTAGCACTAACTGTAAAAGTTATCAGTTGTCATTCTCTATGCAAAGAAACAATGCTGCTTAAATCCCTGTCATTTGGAAATTTGTGGACAGTTGTCTTATAGGCAATAATACCAAAACTTCATATTATCATGACTTACAAAAACATGTACAGAGATGAAATCACAAAATCATATAAGTCTGAAATGCATGGAATATTTATGATTTTTCATATAAATATCAGCTCATAAAACTGATTATCAAACTATAGACCTACATCACTGTATGAATGCTTTTTAATCTTGACTCACGTAGGTTACATCCTGCTGAAATAAACATCTAAAAATCTATTTCATCGTCTTTTTCTTAGGTGAAATTTTTTTAATTCTCTAACCTTTATTAGATGTAAAATTAATGGAATTCACTCATTACCAGGGGCAAGTAAGTTACCATCTGCCAATTGTATTATAGTATTTGTTAAAAAAACAACTTGAAACTGCTTCACTTATTTTATACATCTGTGCTGTGATGCACATCTTCATGAAATTGATGTATGTTCTTTTAATTATCTGCATGTGAATGTGCATCTGCTGCACCTTATTTACAAGAATTTTGAACTTCTGTATTAACAAATCGGAGAAGATCGAAACATCTCACTAAAATTTTTTTAATGGAAAACATTGTGTACTTTGGAAATCACAACTGGTAAATTCCAGTTTTTCTTCATTTTCTCAAAATTCCTTCTGCTAGGAAGGCTATTCTCCAGACAGACTCTCATACTTATATCCCACCCCCCTTTTCTCTAATCGTTTTGTAAAGAAATTCAATATCTTTTTTTTTTATTTCCCACAATTTTCTTTTGCTTGGAGTTTGTTTGCTACAAAGAAGGCTATCAAATATCTTTATCTAACTTTAGTCCTCCACTCCCTCTCCCCCCCCTTTTATCCCTCCTTACCCTCACCGAATTTCCACAATCATTACAAGCACATAACTATAAACATGTAAATGTGTATTCAGGTTAATATGACCAGACCAATGACTTCAACAACAGATGTTACATTCAAGTTGTTATCTTTATTGGTTTTCAGATACATCTTTTTATCTCAAAAACAATTTAAGGAGTTATTAATATATGTGTTGCTGGCATATGTTTCACTACAATTATAATGTAAGAATCCAATGAATGAATCATTGAATGACTTATGATTTGACTAATTGTCTGAATGATTTGATAATTGATTAATAATTGATATTCAATATCAGTCATCAACTATTTAAAGATGATTAGTAGATCAAGTTTGTGCAGCATATATTGTTCAGACAGAAGCCTGGTCTCTAGTCAAATATTTAGTACTTAATATATATAGCCCTTATGTGGATTTTACATGTTTCCATAAAGTTCAAATTGGATTTAACATACAGACCTGTCCAAAGTAAATATTCAATATCATATTCAATTTTTTGCTGAATGTTCAGTGACAAATATTTCATACATATACATATTCCACATGAAAACCAATTAACAATGAATCTGATAGCTAGTAAACCTTGTCAGGGTCAACTGACTTACAGGGCAGGAAATTTAGACAGACACCCTTTTTTAATTAAAAAAAATACTTTGTCCACTCACAATATTGTGTGAAAGTTATTAAAATCCAATTATTATTACAAGTGAAGTAGCAATAATATCGTACAACTGTTGAACATTGAAAGTTTTTTGAGGTTTTGAAAATGTATATATCCTATATCTTTGACAAGTCCAAAAATCTTTAAAATACAAAGGATGCTTTATTTCAGCACTTAGACTCAGACACTAAGACTCCGTGAGTTATTACTTTAGGGTACACAAGTCAATACTCGGTAGCTTTCATATCATGCAGTCAACCTTGTTGAAATCTTATTTACTTTTTACATCTATATTAAATCCAGTTTGTAAAAAGAAAGGGTCAGGGTTTATATGCGCAATAAAAAAAAATTGCAAAAAATTCCTCGAGGTACTGTTTTTCCATATTTTTTTAATTCCAATTTGCAACAAAATGACGGTCATGTGACCCTGAAATTATCAATTTGATTTCTTCTCTATTGATTAAATATACATTGGTTCTGAAAATATTCCCTATTGATTGTTTAAAACCTTGGTCCTAAAAATATGGTCTTCATTTTTACTTAATGCATTGCAACTTAAAATGCAATACTCCAAGAAACAGGTAATACTGGGCAATACTGGGTAATATGATTTTTCAAGCTTATTTATATACAAAATAGTAAAGACTTATTGTAGTTTAAAGCTAAATATATACATTCTATACAGACAACCATTGAGAGTCATTCGGACTCATTCCTGAAGATTGAAAACTCATATTTTTTCCTTATCTCCACTAATTCTATGTAGGCAGAATACAAGTTTCGCATATTTCGGAATACCTTGTTAGTTTTCAAGCTTTGTTTCAATAATCCAATTTGAAACTTTCAAAAAATACATTTCATGTAGTGTTTAAGTGAATTGTAACTTTTAATACAGTAGCTATACAATCATATTGCTAAATAAACACCTAAGGGGACAGGCCATGAACACTTATAGAAATCAAAAGGCTGATTATTGTTTTGTAAACAAATCTGTGTTATAATCTGAATAATTACTTATTAATTAGTGATGTACATAAACATATGCTTAACTTTGTAAACATTTTTAGTAATGAACAAAAAACATTTAAAAGTAATTTTCCTTACATACATGTATAATTGTTAATTAATTCTTAACATTAGTTATATTTATTAAAAAAATTTGTAAGGGTTCCGCGGAACCCAGTGTCTCGCCTACTTTTGCTGTTAATCACAGGCTCAACAAAAATGAGGAAAAAAATTAATAAAAATATTCCTGTCTATACTATCTTTTGATTGTAAGTAGCTTCTGTCCAAATTTGGTAAAAATCCAGGATAGTTTATGAATCTAATAAATGTTTTAAAAACATAAACTGCAGACTGTATGTAATGTTAACTGGAATAAAAACTAAGTCCATTTATAAGTAAAATACGGAAAAAATGAAACAAAATTTTAACAAAATTTCCTTCTAAATACTAGCTTTTAATCATAAACAAGCTTCTGTCCAAGTTTGGTACAAATCCAGGATAGTTTAAGAAAGTTGTTAAAATTTTAAAAACTTTTAACCACAGAGTGAATGTAATGTTAACTGGCATAAAAACTAAGTCCATTTATAAGTAAAATACAGAAAAAGGAATTTTTTTTTACAAAATTTACTTCTGGATACTATCTTATGATCATAAACAAGCTTCTTTCCAAGTTTGGTAGAAATCCAGGATAGTTTAAGAAAGTTGTTAAAATTTTTAAAACTTTAACCACAGAGTGAATATTTGTGGACGCCGCCGATGACGCCGACGGAATGTAGGATCGCTATGTCTCGCTTTTTCGACAAAAGTTGAAGGCTCGACAAAAACAAATTCAATTCTTTCAACTTTTAGTCAACACTTAGATCAATATAGACAGAATGGCGATAAGATAGATTTTAAGGAGGATTGTTAAGAAAAGCTTTGCAAATTTTTCTTATGTGTCTTCATGTACCCTTGCATTGTCTAAGAGTTGCTGGACCATTAATATTTTCTCAGATTTATACACTTTATATAAAGAGTCTCAAACAATATGAACAAGTGCACATGTAAATCAAAATAGTAAATCTTATTTTTATAAAAATCTTTAATGTATTGCATTTATGATCAATTCTCTTTAAAATTCATACCAGTATTTCATATTACCCAGTATTGCCCAGTATTACCTGGTAAAACCCAGGTTTTCCCAGTATTTCCCACTGGGCTGACCAATACTCATAAAACCTGGGTTTTTGCCAACCCTGTAATTGCAGTGATGAAAGAACACAAATTCCAAAGAAGACAATTCCAATTTCAGGTACAATTTACCATGTACTCAATACAACATATATTGCTAAGTCTTTAATCGGTTATTGGAAAATTCCATTGAAATAAGAACAAATTCTAAAGAAGACAATTCCAATTTCATGTGCAATTTACTACATACTCAATACAACATATTGTTAAGTCTTTAATCAGTTATTGGAAAATTCCAGTGAAGTAAGAACAAATTCCAAAGAAGACAATTCCAATTTCATGTGCAATTTACCTGTCAAGTTTTAAGAAATCCAATGTTACCTACCTGACAACTTCTATAAAATCCTTCCTCAGTAAAAATACCATGTTGTAAAGTCTCTCATAAATAGTGAGAAGGAACTGACATCAGAAACAAACATCCTACACCACTTAATACCACATTCTCCTTTGCCAATTAGTTCTATAGTTTATTATATAGAAATATATGATGTGAAAGTCGGTAGAATTCCAAAGAAGTCTTGAAAGTTATCCAAACTAACCAAATTTATTATTTAGAATCATATGATGAGATGGTCTGTTACGAACTCTGTAGAAGTCTTGAAAATTATCCAGAAATGTTCCAAAATAAACCAATAGCAGTAAAACAACAAAAACAAAATTTCACAAACTACATGTAGATAAATGTATGTGAACTTTTTAAATCTTACTGTTTTTCCCTTCACGATACTGTTCAGAACTTAATTTAATTCCTCAGATTCCTTACCAATCCAAATCAGACTGTGAATAAGGCAGATACTATAAGTAGTGAATATTGCAAGCACATTTAAATGATGGGAACGCGAAACTACAATGTATGCATTTATCATTACAAACATCTAAGTCAAGTTTTTACATGGTAAATCGGTGATCTGCACAATATAGATACATATAATTAGCTACAAACAACAGACTAAAACCACAATTAACTAACTCAATACACACAGACACATAAATGTTCCTCAACACTCAGACAAAAGATTTGAATAATTAATTCCTTCAGTAAACTTCAAAGCAGTCAAAATCGAAATAAAATTTTCAATTAGACTTTGATGTAACCTAACAAACAAATAATGTGTGTTTCTTGTTGTTTTGTAAACAGAATGACCACAATGTACAAACAGTCCAACTTTAATAATGAGGCTATTCACATCCAGTTTTTGCCTCAGCCAAAATTTTAATTGGCCTCCTCAAGGTGCAAATTCTTAGGAAAAACAAATGTAATTTTTACATATGAATGACTCACTAAAAATGCCATTTTAGGTTGACTGGGTGATATGACCTCTCTTATCTTTAAAAGTAATGACTTTTTGCAGATTTATCAGCATATCACTTTCTATAGGTAGCTACCAGAACAGTTAATGAACATTTAATCTGTTCCTACCTCGTTCCTGCATTTACATGCTAACAAATCTTTTCGTGAATTTAATTCCAACATCAGTAGTGTTGTTGTGTACTATAATCTACTTAAATTATGAAACTTGGTTTTAGATTAGGAGTTTTATATCAGCTACAAGAGTCTGTTACAACTCTGACATGCATATGTCTGAATATTTAGCTTTTTCTGAAACTCAATCACAGACAATAAGTTTTTTGGTCAACACTCCAAGAATTAAAACAAACCAGGAATGAAGAGCCAAAGATTAACTAATTAAGCTTACATAAAATTAACAGACTGTGTTATGTGATAAAATACCCCCCCCACCCCCCAAAAAAAAATGCAGAATGCGTCTATGGGCCACAGATGCCCCGTGAAGACCATTTTGTGATTATAAGCATTGTGTATAAGTTTCATAACATTTGGCTGAGGCAAACTCACTAAAGTTATAGAATGGAAACGACAGATTTAGCTATTTTTCCATTTATAAAGGGCATAACTCAAGAACGGTAAAATTGACGCCACCCAATTTCAAACTTGATCTGTGTTTTGTGGTAATCAGCATTGTGTATAAGTTTCAAAACATTTGGTTGTGGCAAACTAAAGTTAGAGAACGGAAACAAAAAATTCAGCAATTTTTATGTTTATAAAGGAGCATAACTTATGAATGCTAAAAGTAACGCCCCCAAATTTTGAATTTGATCTGTGTTTTGTGGTAATAAGCATTGCATATAAGTTTTATAACATTTGGTTGTGGCAAACTAAAGTTAGAAACGGAAACCAATTTTGGGGACGTACGCGACGGACGGACAATGAAGGGTAACAAATAATGCCCCTCCGCATAAAAAACAACAAAAAAAAACATATTGAAATGTCTTTACTGGGACCACCCAGATGGTTACTTTTACAATCTCTAAAAGTGAAGGTGAATTTTTTATCACATGGTATTTTTAGAGCAGATAATAAGTGATGCACTTTATTATCAACAGGTACATCTTGTTTTTCTCGCATCCTGTCCAAAACCTAATGTACTAGTGAATTAATCCAAAATTAATCCCTTCCTGTCTTAACACACTTAGAATATAAATGATTAAAAATAAAGTCTTTTATTTGGTCATTTTATCATTTAAATTGCAAGTGGTTTTTTTTTTTTTAAATTATAAACATATTAATTGTAGCTGAAGCATGCAAAATGTTCATGTTTCAAATTTCAAACACAAAAAGTGTTTGCTTGTTTGCTTAGCCTAAAACCAATCATAATAATTATATATATGCTTTCTCCTTATCTTGCCAATTTCCTATGAGTTTAACATGAACCAGCTAATTATGAACTTCCTCCTAATGGAGCCTCTTTCCTGCACTAATTAGGGAGGAAACATGAACATTTTTATTATCATTCACTTTTCAATGGGGTAATGCAAAGGGTTTTATGCCAGAAGCCTCAAAGGAAGATAATTCTGAACTCAAAACATTTTTTCAATTGAAATTTTGGAAATTTATTCATTTGACATACAGATGATTCTTTTCTTCTGACCAATGCCTATTTTCAAAATTAAATTTACCCTATAGCTAATATCCTTTTCTTTTTACCTTGGTAAGATGCTATTTTCTCAATTACTAGTAATGTACATGCACAAATCTTTATCATATAGAGAAATCTAAAATCAAATTCATTTTAAGAAGTTCTCCAATTCTCAACTCTCCCAACAAAAAAAAATATAATAGCAAAAAAACCTGGATGGAAGGGGAATAACTCATATTTATTTTGAGATTTTGCTGTCAAATGTTTCTTGATTTTATGTGCCCCATCTGTCATGTGTCTGAGCATGATATTTAAAATGTATTTAAAAAGGATAATTAAACAATCTCTTTTTCACTAATACATGTACATTGTTTTGGAAGCATCACGTGTGTCAACTTTAATCCCTTTAGTTTACCTACAATGTTTATACATATGCAACTCTTTGCATATAAACAAACCTACATTTGTATATAATTAATTTGGGTTCAAGCCTGTTCAAACAGATTATATCTAAAGGACCTCTATATAAATGTAATTAAATTTGACCATAAAAAGTTCTAACTATCATACACTGTATACAAGTAATTAAAGTTTAAAACTACATTGACAATGAGGCTTTATAGATGTGTGGGCACTACGTCTATATATTATCTACATGTTGGGTAAAACGTACAGTTAAATTTGTACATACAAGGTGCCAATTAATTTCTATTCTGTAAACCCCACCTAGACCCTCTTAAACACTTAAAACTCAATAAAAGTGAAAAGGTGTCAAAAAAATATATATATAACAAAATTAATAAAAGATAATAACATTTTCAATTCATCCCACTGAATTCTTAAAATCAGGCGATGAGTTAGAATTGATAAAATTCATATCTTATATATATATATATGTCAAAGTTAAACTTGTTTCTAAATTCTATATTTGACTGCTAAGTTTAATTGTACTTTTCCATTGTTATCATTTTAAAATTTATATTGATATTTTCATCATATCTTAAATCTATCAATTTATTGCTGATTTAAATAAAATTCATCTCCTTATTTTTATCATGCATATGAAACATTCCAATGTGCAAATTACAATATATTATATTTCTATGGCCTACAGGCATATATACATGTATGCCACCTTAATAAGTTATGCTGTTGCTTGAAAAATGAAGCCTACATATATATATGTATTGTGCTTAACAATTCATTATTACTATTTCTAATATTAAATAGTCAGTTGAACAATTTCTTTTTGCTTGATGTTGGAATTATGGTAATTTGAATTGCCCTCCAATAAAACATTTAAACACTAGACCACAGAAAACATACTTTGCATAAATGAAAACCTTGTATGTACTGTAATACTGTTGACTACTAAATACAAAATGATAGGAGTGTCACTTTTACCTGTATAAATCTCTTGGCTTGCTGTTAAGATAAAAGTACCTATTGTTATAGCCTTACACAATTCAATCCTATATTTTGTAAAATTACATAAATAGCAAATCTAAGGCTGTTATTTTGCATGTTCCAAAAGTTAATGAGCTGTATATATTTGGTTCTGTTCATAATGATATTGCTCAAGCTTTATATGTTAATTGGTTATGTGGTCTGAACCTTGCTAGTGGGTTTTTCTTTTTATCTTTTCTTTGGTTGATTCATTTAAATGTAGGAGTCAAGTAGAACAATAACGATAACAAAAACCATGGCAATCATATAGATGATAAAATGATTACATTTTTAGTAAAAAAAACACGGAAATAATTCGCTTCAAAGTCTGATAAAATCCCTATAGGTTATTTAATTATGAAAAAGTTTTTAAATATATTTTCAAAATTAACTGAGAAAATACTAATATGGGCCATTAAATGTTTCAGTAAAGGAAAATCTTGACTCCCAAAAATTTGTGACTTTTTAATCTCTGTACTAAGTCTTGTCCGTGTGATTTGGTACTTTCAGAAAATACCAATCTATCATGGTAACATCTTAAGGAAAAGCCTGCTACACATTTGTATATTAACATCCTCAGGAATACAATTATATATGTATAACATTACTTCCTATTAGGTGACAAGATAAAAACTTCATTTAAATTTCATGTTGACACAGGTGATTATTACCTGTGGAGGTGATTTACAGGTAGACATCAAAAGAAGTTATATAACCTAATATCTTTATCATTTCAATACACAAAAGAACAACCTGACAATTTGATAAAAAATAACCACAACATTGTCCCACATCTGATTCTTATGTATAAGTCATTTAACTACAACTTTTATTTTTTGTCGACTTGAAAAGAAGAATGTAAAAACAAAAAATATGGCAGCTGTAGAAGACAATTGCAAGAGACCATGGGCTAAAATAATGTAAATAATTACCCAAGCCACTATCAGACAGATTAAAATGACCTCTACAAATATTTACAAAACTTATTATAGTTCAAAAACAATTTCCTATTTTCAATTTACATGTACTTAAACAACTAGGTGAAATATTAGACTAGAGTCTAATGTTCATATACATGTAAATGTAGATATTACACATGTACTTTTTTTGAGTGAAAAAAATTATAATTTAATTCTCCTCTAGATCTATGAACATGATAAAGCTGGTAAAATTTTAGACTTTTCAACATGCCGGATTTTGGGGTTAAATCTAAATTTTAACTGTCCAAAGTGGAGAAAAAATATAATTTATAAGCATACAGATCTAGAGGCAGAATAAAGTTTCTCCCATAAATTTTACAGTAATTGACAGTCTTCCTTTTTCAAAACTCCCATGATTGAATATGACAACAATGATGCAGTTACCAAAAAATCTCCCAATTACATGTATGTCCCGTGGTAATGAATTTAATTAGCTACAACATGTACATTTGTACCCATCAAAGCATTGTATTTTTTTTTTAATTAACTGTTTCTCAAAGGCTACAATTCAACCCACATGTGGTTCAAACTATATCATGTATACTGAAGATTAGAAACCATCTGGCTGAGTGCTGTATTAGTGCCTAATATCAGGAGAATATTTTATATTTCTAATCTAAATGTGTTCTCTAACTAGCAATTCACTCATGAAATATCTCTTTGTCTACAGGTTTATCAGAATCTTTTTCAAATGGTACATACAGTTGTACCTCGTTGTGTCGAACTCGGTTGTGTCGAAAGTTCGGATGAGTCGAAGTAATTTCTCAGTCCCCGTAAAATTCCCGTTTGATCAATGCATAATTACCTCTGATGATTCGAAACTCGGTTGATTCGAGTACTCGGTTAAGTCGAGTAAATTTTATAGTCCCGTCGATGTAAAATTCATGTAAATTGACCCCGATGACTCGAAGTTCGAAAGTAAGAATTTTCAAAAGACGCAGACCTAATGATAAAAATTCAAATCGGATGTATTTCTTATGTAACTTAATCATTTTCCAAAGAGATTAAAGCTGAGTAAACATACTTGTTTGTATAACAGTTAAAATGACATGTTTATGGTGACCGGTAATTAACACCTTTGGTTGATCGTTCAAGCGGAATGTTAGTGTGTTGAACATTTTTCACATCAGATAAAAACAAAACGAATTTAAATGACCCAAGCCGAGATTAAATGAATCTTTAGATTTAAAACTCATTAATTACAATAAATAAAAGGATTAGGACAATTATGATCAATTCACTATAATTTAATGTAAAGCAGACGACCTCTGGCTCATCAGAGACCTTCATTTGTGCATGATTTGTATCTGTACTTGTGTGTTTAATTATCATGAAGAACCAAAAATGGAGATTGAATACACAATCATAAAGTGTGATATCGAAAAAAAGGCACACAAATCATATCGTATTTCATGCATTCCAAATTTATGACGACACACTCGACCTCGGATGAGTCGAACCTCAAATGTGTCGAATACTTGGGTCCGGTCCCTTCGACTTCGACACAACGAGGTTCGACTGTATATTAGAGGTCGATGGTTTTGGAAATTTTGCATTGTATTGAAAACAGGGAGTAAGTGGCCCGAGAACACAGTTATTTCGTAGTGCATTTCTTTCAGACAATAAATTCAAATTAAAAAAATCGCACCTGCTCTATCTCAAAAAGATTTTTACAGTGTAGTGTACTACTATTGATACAAATAATATCAAAATTATAGAAACTTCTACCAGCTCTAACTCAAAATATTGACAATTCTGTGTTAAGGGGGGCTAAAATTCAGTTTGACAGCTTCAGACATTCTAATTTTTGACCTTTTTTAAATGGACCAAATCACTACTTAACATAAAGATTCAGCACCCAAATTTTTTTTAACATGTAATTTCATCCCCTTACTTAATATTTCATGCATAAAATATCAAGAAATAAATTGGGAAAGTGTATCAAAAAAAAATGCAAGTTATACACTGTTCACACTAGGGACTATATTCGTAGACAACGAAAACCATAGGACGATAACTGTGTCCTTGGACCAAGTCACGCACAATATCATCAGAATTCACAATCACATTGAAAAATGACAATCCATAGCAATTCTGAACTCAATAATTACAATGTCTGTCTGTACTACATTTTTGGCAATAATTGGTTATCACAGTCATAAAATGTACCAGTAACTTACTCTGGATTCATATGTAAATAACTTATTTAGATATACATGTAGACATGGTAAACATTTTCTATATATGCTTACAAGCAAAATTTGGCAAAACTATGAAATCAAATATATATATCCACAAAAATTACAATTTTTTCCTCCATCCACCCAAAAAACTAAATGAATCCACAATACAGTAAATGCAGCGGTAATTAAGTATTACATTCTGACATTATGAAACTTACCGTACTGAGGCCTGCTGTTCTGCTGACATCTGGTTAACTAATTGGACTGTTGGTGACGGGGGGACTGGATCACAGTCCTCGGTGGATGGTGAAATGTCAGCACCAAATTTTGTTCTCATCTGTACCCCATATGTTATGCTGTCAAATGAACGGTGGGTAATCTCTTCCACACCAGGCTGAGGAGCAGGGGATGGAGGTTCATCCACTCGTTGGTGGCCTGCTACACAATATGGTGGAGGAGGCTCTCGATCCTCTTCTGGATAGGGCGGAGGTGGTGGTCTGTCTTCTGAAACATTATGAGCAGAGGCCATCACTGCAGACACATAGTCCTTGTCAGTTTCAGCATTTGGCTGTGAGTTTTGCGGTAGCGGGGGTGGTGGTGATAATGGCGGTGGAGGAGGACTGTCTCTTGGTGATGATGTCATGCTAGATGTTGATTGTGGTGTGTCTGGTCTAAGGTCCTCGGTCAGATGTGAACTTACCACTTCAATCTGAACACTACTAGGTGTGGTTGGCTTTTGAATGACTGATTCACTGTCCGGAGTTGAAAACACAGGAGGTTCAAACTTCGATTCTATAACTGATACCGTGGGTACACCAGAATTTAACTGAGAATCAGTACTTTTACTAAAGTTTTCTTCAACTTCATTTCTGTTAGACTGTTCATCATGATCATTTTGTGGAATAGCTGGTGTCGGTCTCCTTGGAGATGGAACCGGTCGTGATATTGGACGTGTCGGTGTTGATGGTTTTGAAGGAACAGGGGGTTTTAATGGCACATTTGATTTAGACACAGGCACTTCTGGCTTTTCAATAGTCTGTGGTTTTGAACTTACATCTCTTACTTTAGAACTAATGATCTGTTCCGATTTTTTGTCAACAGTATTAGAGGATGTAGTTTCTGAATCATAGTCATAACTCCTTCTCCCGGCTCTGATCCTATATTTATCACTATAATAAGTTCGACTCTTGCTTGGTTCAACAGATTCATCATTGTCCAGGGTGTCAGCCGAATGTGAGCGATTACGTTGACTTAACTGTGAAAGTCCACTATGTCGAGAATCAGTAGACTCTGACATTTGTTCCCTTATTTCCCATGATCGCCTTTTTGACTGAAAGTCAGATCCAACATTTACATGAGACAAATAATTATCTGCCTTGACCAAAGCTGCCTGAATTTCCTGTTTTGTCAGACGGCCTCCAGTTTCATTATCCCTGTGGCGACGCATTACTACTCCAGAAGTGTCTTCTGTTGTGGAAGAGTGAGATGATTTAGCAGTCTGAGAATGAGGTACACTCTGACCTTTGTCACTTGACACTGAACGTATTCTGTCACATTGAAATGCTCTTTTGTTGCTATCAGCTGACCTTGACCTATAACCTGATGTCACACTAAGGTCATATTTGTTATTTTCTGATTGAATGTCACCTGTAGCTTCATCAACATCCATGTTTTCCTCCGTGTCCTTTTTATTTCCAGATGATGAATTACTACCTGATCTACTGTCATTTTGTCTCCTTTTCCATAACAATCCACTGTAAGAAGAATTTACATTTGTTCTGGCACCAATGTTAAGACTTGAAGGTCTTTGTTCAGAAGTGGTCCCTTTTGGCACATGTGACATATCGTTACTTCCCTCATGTTTATTTCGTGTTGATTCAACATTGTACCGATGAGTAAAGTGATCATCTGAATGTTTACCTGCTGTCGGACTCGTAGGTGTACTTGTGTTTGGGGATAAAACAGGTGACGGAGTTGCCTCCCCTTTTTGTGATAAATGAGTTTGGTCAGTTGAGTGAGGTTGATTGGGAGTTCCCTCAAGTCTTGCAAATAATGCTCTTGTATGTAAAAACCTTTGAACATGATTTGTAGCATCTAAGAGACCATGATCAGATTGAGGAACTGGAGCATTTTTGGTCCTCGTAACAGGTTCAGTCTTCTTACGTTTTGATTCTGGAGATTTTTCTACTTCTTGTGCTCGATGATGTAATTCTTGTTTATCATGTGGCATATTCACTTGGAACAGTTCTTTCATTTTACTAACATTTGACCCAAATAACCCAAGGTGTGAATTTGACTTGCTCGTCGTGTTCTCAGCAGGTTGTCTATGATTTGGAGGTGAATCATTCCTGCTTTCTCTGTGTCTAGGTTTCAGTGATGGAGGCATTTCCTCTGAAGATTTTTGTCTCTGCAAGCTTCCGCTACGAAACCTACTTGCTGTAAGGACATCCTTTCTTGGGTCAGCAACAGTTCCCATCTTGATTAACTTTTATATATATATATATTTTTATTTATCTCTCCATGAGGAATCAGTTGACCCTTTTTAACTTCTAATATATCCTTGATAAATTATGTATTCTTAAGCTTCAATTATCAAATATATATTTTCCAGTTTAATCCAAATACAAGTTTTTATATATAAAGGTCTTGTGGTATAATATCAATGAAACTTGTAACAATGAAGTTAGTATGTGTTCTCAAATACATTCGAACTGCCCACGTGTAAAACTAACCATTCCTGTATGAATCCATCTAAAATGAAAATAATTTTAAAATCTTATAATTACTTCAGGGTATTTCAAATATCAAATGTATAGTATGTTTTGTATACAGTGGATTTCTCTAATTGAGAGTGTCAAGAGAAAATTATTAGTGATACATTTTTATGGAAATGACAGAAATAATATTCTTGCCCTTTGTAAAGGGTTGGAATGCACTCTTTTTTAACCCTGCCATGCATAAAATTTTAATTGATCATTTCATATAATTGTTATTAAGGCTATCTGTTTAAAATAACCACCACCCATCAAATTTTAATAAAAGTACCTTTCGACCCCCCATTGGCCATTCAATTCAAATTCTAAAAAATGCCCTAACTGCAATGTTTTAATATAGATCTGTATGCATTTTGTTATATAATTACATAAATCATAAGAATTGATTGCCTTTTTTCTAATTTTAAAGGCTCTTAAAGGCAATTCGGTGAACAGTTTAAGTACACACGATACAAACAAATAAATAAAGTACATAATATTGTTATAAAAACAAAATTCTTTTGAAAAAAATAACTTTTTGAAATGTTCTTACTTTCTTATTACTTATCAGTTGAGTTGGAAAATACAGCAAACATAAAATTATTATTATAATAAAATGCTTCGCTGGGCGCAGCTTGATACGACCGCAGAGGTCGAACCCTGAACAGTTGGGGCAAGTATGGACACAACATTCAAGCTTGATACAGCTCTGAATTTGGATTGTGATTAAATATTTGACACAGCATAGGTTTCTGACACAGAAAGAATGTGGTCTAAGAACTTCAATTTTTTTAATTTACCTATTATGGTCCAATGTCCAAAATCAAAATACATGGTTAGATTCAGCATATCAAAGAACCCCATATATTCAATTTTTGTTGAAATCAAACAAAGTTTAATTTTGGACCCCAACTTGGACAAACTTGAAAACTGGTCCCATAATCAAAAATCTAAACACATGTTTAGATTCAGCATATCAAAGTACCCGAAGAATTCAATTTTTGTTAAAATCAAACCAAGTTTAATTTTGGACCCTTTGGACCTTAATGTAGACAAATTTAAAAAACGGGACCCTAAAATAAAAATCTAAAAACACAGTTAGATTTGGCATATCAAAGAACCCCAATAATTCAATTTTTGATGAAATCAAACAAAGTTTAATTTTGGACCCTTTTGACCTCAATATGAACCAATTTGAAAGCAGGCCCACAAATAAAAAATCTAAATACATGGTAAGATTTAGCATATCAAAGAACCCCATATATTCAATTTTTGTTGAAATCAAACAAAGTTTAATTTTGGACCCCAATTTGGACCATCTTGAAAACTAGGCCAAAAATCTAAAATCTAAATACATGTTTAGATTCAGCATATCAAAGAACCCCATATATTCAATTTTTGTTGAAATCAAACAAAGTTTAATTTTGGACCCCAACTTGGACCAACTTGAAAACTGGTCCCATAATCAAAAATCTAAACACATGTTTAGATTCAGCATATCAAAGAACCCCAAAAATTCAATTTTTGTTAAAATCAAACTAAGTTTAATTTTGGACCCTTTGGACCTTAATGTAGACCAATTTAAAAAACAGGACCCAAAATTAAAAATCTAAATACACGGTTAGATTTGGCATATCAAAGAACCCCAATAATTCAATTTTTGATGAAATCAAACAAAGTTTAATTTTGGACCCTTTTGACCTCAATATGAACCAATTTGATAGCGGGCCCACAAATAAAAAATCTAAATACATGGTAAGATTCAGCATATCAAAGAACCCCAAATATTCAATTTTTGTTGAAATCAAACAAACTTTAATTTTGGACCCCAATTTGGACCAACTTGAAAACTGGGCCAAAAATCTAAAATCTAAATACATGTTTAGATTCAGCATATCAAAGAACCCCATATATTCAATTTTTGTTGAAATCAAACAAAGTTTAATTTTGGACCCCAACTTGGACCAACTTGAAAACTGGGCCCATAATCAAAAATCTAAACACATGTTTAGATTCAGCATATCAAAGAACCCTAAGAATTCAATTTTTGTTAAAATTAAACTAAGTTTAATTTTGGACCCTTTGGACCTTAATGTAGACAAATTTAAAAAACGGGACCCCAAATTAAAAATCTAATTACACGGTTAGATTCGGCATATCAAAGAACCCCAATAATTCAATTTTTGATGAAATCAAACAAAGTTTAATTTTGGACCCTTTGGACCTCAATGTGGACCAATTTAAAAACAGGGCCCAAAATCCAAAAACTTAATACACGGTTAGATTCAGCATATTAAAGAACCCCAAGAACTCAAGAATAAAACCCCATTGAAATTGATCAAGAAATAAGCAATTTATAGGAAGTATCTTCTTTTGCACAATACTGTGCAATTGAATATTTCTTGCTATTGCGCAATACTGTACAATTGACAATTTCTTGCTATTGCGCAATATTGTGCTATTGGATATTTCTTGCTATTGCGCAATACTGTTAAATTGAAGATTTCTTGCTATTGCGCAATACTGTGCAATTGAAGATTTCTTGCTATTGTGCAATACTGTGCAATTGAAAATTTCTTGCTATTGCACAATACTTATTATATAATAATTTACACATCCTGTTTGGTGTGTATCTCCTACCATATCATTATTATTTGCTTTTAAATATAAATCAGAAATAACCAACTTAAAATGGAAAATTTTAAAAGAAAAAAAAAAAGAAAAAAAAAAAAAAAAAAAATCCCCCCCCCCAAATTTTTTGAACCCCCTTATGATTCATCACCCCCAAACTCAATCCCAGCCTTCCCTTTGTGGTATGGTACCTTGCAGTACAATTTCAGAGAGATCCATACACTTGAACACAAGTTATTGTCTGGAAACTAGAAAAATGCTTATTTTTGGCCCCTTTTTGGCCCCCAATTCCTAAACGTTTTGGGCAATTACCCCCAAACTCAATTCCAGCTTTCCCTTTGTGATATGGAACTTTGTAGTACAATTTCAGAAATATCCAAACACTTACACACAAGTTATTGTCATGAAACTAGAAAAATGCTTGTTTTTTGCCCCTTTTTTGGCCCCTAATTCCTAAAATTTTGAGGCAATTACCCCCAAAATCAATTACAGCCTTCCCTTTGTGATATGGAACCTTGTGGTACAATGTCAGAGAGATCCATACACTTACACACAAGTTATTGTCTGAAAGTTACAAAAATGCTTATTTTTGGCCCCTTTTTGGCCCCTAATTCCTTAACTGTTGGTACCATAACCCCCAAAATCAATCCCAACCTTCCTTTTGTGGTATTGAACCTTATGGTGAAATTTCATGGAGATCCATTCACTTAAACTAAAGTTAGAGTGCGAAAACCAATGTGTCTTCGGACGACGCAGGACGACGACGACGACGACAACGACGACGACGACGACGCCAACGTCATACCAATATACGACCAAAAAATTTTTAATTTTTGCGGTCGTATAAAAACATTACATATATGTTATTTTAAAAATTTTCAAATATCTTTATGTAATCAGTAATAACAGTTGTGTTGACCTATATATATATATATATATATATGCATGTATGCAATCAAGATAAAACAAATTAAATAGAAGAGATATAGATATTAACTGGTTTTGTTTTTTGAATTCTTACATTGTACATTGTATGCAAATAACAGGATTATGCAACATTTGAGTTGCGTCGGATAGAAATCGACCTTATGCAAGTGCACATATACATGTAACAGTATAAGACTTTGATTGATTTTGGAACATTCAAATATGAAATAAAAGATTAATTTGGGTTTGTATTGTAGAGTTTCTTATAACAAATCAATTTTCAAACAGTTACACACTTTGCATAGAGATTTTTTTAACCCAAAATAGGATAACAGATGTATTGATATTTATTTGCACAAGGTCCATTTCTATACGATGCAGCTCATTTGTTAGTATGTAGAACTCACTGTACATGTATAAACACAGTGTTTCCTTAAAAGCTAATAGACAACTGAAGAGTCTGCTACATTTGTACTTCACAGTTCTGGTCATATATACATGTATATATATATACATGTAGCTACTTTGTTACAATATAATAACATATGTTCAATGTACATGTATATTTACCATAAAGTGGATAAACCTGTACTGTCTTTCTTATAGCCAGAGCTTACATCTGGAAAGAAAAAATACAGAATTTAAACTTAGAATTTGAATAATCTGTACATTTGAATTACATGTAGTTAACCATATCCATACACATGTGTTTATGATTGATTGAATGATTGGTGTATTTCATGGTGGTCAGTTTTTATTGGTGGAAGAAGTCAGAGTGCATGGAAAGGACCACTGTGTACTTTGGCTGGAAAAACGAAAACTGACAATCCTAGTCAAGCATATGTGTTTATGGGCAGTAACACATACAATATAAGGTCATTTTGTTAAAATTCTCTGCAGTCTAATACATAAGTTTTGTACATTTGTGCAAGAAGCGTCATTTTAATAGTCCAAGTAAAGTTGAAACCAGAATTCAGAATACTCAGGACATCAGGTACTGGTAGTCTGGTACCCAGAAATACTTATTCAGTTATCATAATGCATTTTTTCTCAGATGGAAAATATACAACAGTTTACTTGAAAGTTTTCATAAAATATAGAGTGTATGATAAAAGTATTGAAAATACAGTCCTGTTAAGTTTAATTATATTTGAATTGTATTGTAATGTACAAATCCATAATATAATACCAAAATTATAACATTTATATTTAACGAGAGTAGTGCACATGCTGAAATGTCTCGCCTGTTTTACTGACCATTGATTTTATGTTGAAAGTCTTAAAGATAAAGGTTTTACTAAAAGCATTACAGAAACTTAACTTTTTAAAAAATTTGTAAGGGTTCCGCGGAACACAGTGTCTCGCCTACTTTTGCTGTTGTCTATGTCTTCAGTGTGATAGGGGAATGCACATAATAGATTTACAGTTAATGAAATAAAACGTTTGAAATGTATGAAAAAAGTTATGCTTGTAAAAAATGAATACAGTATGCAATCAAATCTACAGATTTATAAAAGAGTTGAAACATAAATTTATTGAATGAACAAATGATAAAGAAGATAATCTTTACATTTTCCTCTAGATACTATCTTTTGATTGTAAGAAGCTTCTGTCCAAGTTTGGTAAAAATCAAGGATGGTTTATGAATCTAATAAATGTTTTAGAAACTTTAACTGCAGACTGTATGTAATGTAATTAACTGGAAGAAAAACTAAGTCCATTTATAAGTAAAATACGGAAAAACAGGAAATAATTTTTTACAAAATTTCCTTCTGGATACTATCTTATGATCATAAACAAGCTTCTGTCCAAGTTTGGTAGAAATCCAGGATAGTTTAAGAAAGTTATTAAAATTTCAAAAACTTTAACACAGAGTGAATATTTGTGGACGACGCTGATGACAAAATGTAGGATCGCTATGTCTCGCTTTTGCGACTTTTGTCGTCACAGGCTCGACAAAAATCTATGACAATGAGGTCAAGGTCAGATAAATTGTGCCAGACGGACATATACACTAAATATAGTTGACCAATGAAGCATAACTATGAGGTCAAGGTCAGATGATACCTGCCAGACAGACATGTACACCTAACCAAATATAGTTGACCTATTGCTCATAGTACTTGAAAAATAAAAGCACAAAACCTTAACATTGACCAATGAACCATGAAAATGAGGTCAAAGTCTGATGAAACCTGCCAGACTGACATGTACAATGTACCCATTACAATCATTCCATACACCAAATAAAGTTGACCTACTGCTTTAATATAGTATTTGATAAACGGACCTATTCTTTTAATTTTCACCTTGATCACTGATCCATTAAATGAGGTCGAGGTCAGGTAAACTCTGTCTGACGGACATCTAGACATTGCAAGGAACCCATATACCAAATAAAGTTATCCTATTACTCATAATAAGTGAGAAATGCACATGACAAAAAAACTAAAAAAAATTTCAAACAGTTGCTGAACCATGAAAATGAGGTCAAGGACAATTTACATATGATTGACGGAAACCTGGTAACATAAGGTATGAAGCATCCAGGTTTTTTACCTACTGAAATGTAAAGCTTTATACAAATAGTTTAAGCCGTCACTGCCAGATAGTAATATCTATGTCTTGCATGTCGCAGGCAAGACAAAAATTTACGGGCTGTGATGAAAAAAAAAGAACTGCATATATACATTTTTTCAAGTAATCGAAAGTTATCTGTAATCAGCAAGGTGAGCTAAAAATGAAATTTCATTTTCCCACTTATTTCAAATTGCAATCTAAAACTTTACAGACATAATAAGAAGCTTTTCAAAATATAATTATGCAATATTTTTTGAAATTTTAAATGTGAAATAAATAGAGAATCAGGGTTCTGACTAAGGATTTTTTAAGGTGAACCAGGACTCATAACTTTTGGCCATGGAGAGTACAACAGTCATGACAGTGTGAAGATTAAATTTCATTGCTATATTATTTACTTTTTCAGTCTCCATGACAAAATAGAGCAAAGAAATGACATTAAATATATATTGTTTTCAAACATTAAAACAATGATATACGTGCTCAGTTGATACAACATTTTACAATCTTGATGCATCTTTGGTTTCACCAGTTTTGAAAATGATGAGTCCAGACATATTTTCACGAGTCCAGGACTCATGGACTAGCCTTAGTGAGAACCCTGGAGAATGTGTCCATGGGAAGAAGATGATACCCCCACTTGCATATAACATTATAAATGGGACATAACTAGATACATTTAACTGTAAAAGTGACGCCACCCAAATTCGAAATTTAATTGTGTATAAGTTTCATTACATTTGGTTGAGGCAAACTAAAGTTTGGGAGGTATGTACGGATGGTCAGGGGTAACACCTTATGCCCCAACTGCCCCAGCAGGGACATAAAAACAATCCCTCTTACAGTAACAATCTAAGAAAGCTTGAAATCTGAAATTTTGTACCCAGAAATAGCAAAATATTCAACTATGCTACATGCCTGCAATGTTTAAGACTGTGCTTTCAAATATTTAAATGTCAAAGGATATAATTTAATATTATTATGATTTTTATACCTAAATAGTGCCTTAGCATGCTTAGCAGCCCAATGATTCTATTTGTCTTGAAGAGTAGATTTACTGAACCTGATATAAGTGATAGCCAATATTTGAAGAGTTAATTCCACTTTCCGGTCTGCACTCAACCAGTTGTTTTGTTACCAACAGAATTGGGGTGGTGGGGGGGGGATAGCCGGCCTCACTAATTAGCGACAAGAAGAATTTTAGCGACACGAAGCGTCAAGAAGAAGAATTTTAGCGACAAGAAGACTAATTAGCGACAAGAAAACTTTTTTTTTTTTAATTAAAATTACTTATTCCAAATAAATATTAAAAAAATCTGCAAAAGAAAACAATTTTAGCGACAAGAAAGTTAATATTCTATCAATAAATAGATAGAAAACAAATTTGAAACATAGATCTAATTGCTACATTTATTTGTGATATTTTATTATTTATTATGTATAACAGCAAGTATTACGTTTACCCTGTCGTATTATGATATTAATTTTACTTGTGTTTTAGAACAATAGCACTATATAATGAACTTGCAAAATGCATTATTTGTGCATCATTGTCCAGAAAATACAGACACAAATTGTGAAATACAAAGAACTGAAATCAAACAAGAGGAAAACATATTAAATATTTTTCATCATTTTATTTTGTGTATTGCCTCATTTAACGATATTTATCATGTTAACTTTATGAATAGTTTAATGTTGATTGAAGATTAAAGGAAATTAATGACAATCTTGAGTTTTCAACTATTTACAATGATTGTATATTCTGGCGAGTGTAATTGTATAGTCTGACGCGTGTACAAAGTTGAAGGTGTTAATTGGATGTTATTGTAGCAATAAAACAAGGGACACGCGCCTCGTTAATCTCATTTGATGTTTCACATTGTGTGTACTGTTATTACCTAGGGTGAAGCCACATCTAATGTTGTTCCTATCATGGAAGTAATATTTAAAAGGAATAACAACGACTAATTAGCATGTATTAACAGCCTGCAGAGCTCTGTACTAAATCATATGATTTTATCCAATTATAGTCTCAGCGGCAAGACCCCTTTGGTTACTATCTGTGATACCGCGGTTGTAAAATGGCATCTGGAATTTCTTATCAGTCACGTGATTTTATCGAGTCTGGTAATTATAAAGCACCTGTGTGAAATCCGAGGTTTATTAATAAGACGGTGGCGCTGTATCATATTAAACCTCTACCTTCAGAAAGAAGTCGTATGATGTAAAAAAACTTGAAAAACGGACGAGAATTGTTCAACCTACAACAGTTTTGCATGGAAAATTGTATTTAATTTAGCATATTTTTGCTTTTTACCGTTTGTTTTAAACTGTTCTAAAAGTATTTTCTGGTTAAAAGCGGATCCCGAGTAAAACAGTTAAATACCGATGAATCGATCAGGTTTCGCATGATGTTTAACAAAATAATGTAGACAAATCTAGACATAGATTTTTTTACTGTTGAAATGTGCAAAGTTTATCGAGAAGTATTCTAAATTTATGTATATGTCATAAATGTCCTTGATTACATTATTGAAACTGGACAGCTAAAATAGGGATAATATGTTCGTAAACATATATTTTTTAAGAAGTATTTATTGTGGAATACTTGTATTAATATAACAAGCTACAGCAAAAATTAAAACAAACCGACAAAATGAGCTTGACGCTATCTGCCTTACGGCAAATTCATTTTTACACGAATTATTTTATGTATCAAGAACTATAAATTAAAGGATAGAACCGTTTAGAATTGTGATATTTTAATTGACTAATACACGAAAGACTTAGACTTATTCGTATTTAATAAAAGGGAGTCCAAACGTATTTTTTGTACAATCATCTTCTTAACTTACGGAAATGGCATTTTAACTGTCTGTAAATATTAAAATTGAAAATGACCCAGCCTTGTTCTCCAATTTCATATGTGATAGCTGTCGGAACTATTAAGATCGAATTAACCAGAAATAAGAAAATTGGACTAAAATAAAAATTGAACGAATGACTCTATTCGGCAGCGTACATCAACGGAATGTAACGAATGGACTATTCGGGTTACTTCGCACGTATATACGACAAAAACTTGTCTGTTCGTAGTTTTCCGTGAACACGAAAATGACCGAAAAGTGTCAGTGATTTGATCGATCACATGCGGAGAATCAACTTCCATGCCAGATATTAAATCAATTAACAAGTTATCGAAAGATGGGCGGTAACGCAGATGAAACCTTTGAAGTGACGACGTTGTTATTCCTTTCAATATTACTTCCATGTTCCTATCAAGAACAATGAATTGTACTGTTAGAAAGGAAATAATATTTCATGTTTTTGCGTGTGCATTTCCTTTGCTCTAATAAGCTGACTGAAGCCATTCAACTTTAATGTTTTGTATAAAGTAAATTAAACACGCTTAAATAATAAAGATGGCAAAGCATGGCTGAGAGTTCTACAAATAAAGCATCTTCAAAAATTGGCAAACCACCATGTACATAGTGTATAACGTTTGTGTAAGATATGAATGTAAACAAGCTTACAATATAACAAAGCGTATCTAGGACTACACAATCCCTTTCTTCCTCACAAATATTTAATTTCTTCATCTATCAATATAATAAAAAAAACTACACAATCCCTTTCTTCCTCACAATTGTTTAATTTCTTCATCTATCAATATAATAAAAAAAAATTATCAATTTATTCCTGCCCATATATCAAATGTATATTAAAAAAAAAAATCAAATGCATATTTTTTAATATTTATTTGGAATAAGTAATCTTAGTAAAAAAAATGTTTTCTTGTCGCTTCTTGTCGCTAATTAGTGAGACCGGGGGGGGGGGGGGGGGGGGGGGGGGGGGGCAGCCATATTGGGAAAACAGTTACAGATTTAGATAAAAAAAGAGGAGGAGGGGGAACTAGGACATTTAAGTTAGTGGAACATGTAAACATTATATGCATTAATCATACAAAAAGCTCCATAAGGGTCCCTCTAAATCAGCCTCTGTTTAGAACTGCCTTTGAAAAGTAAAAGTGATAAAATAGAATTACAATCATGACAATTTTAGTTAGAAAACTACGAATTTTTAAGCAAAAATAAAATTATTAGCCTGATTTTAAATAAAAACACCAGCACTAAATATGACCTCCTTCAAAGCAAACCCTTCATTAAATTTTTACCAATTAGGAAATTCCTCCTTAGAACCTACTTGCTCATCTCAATTGGGAAGCACTTGTCAAACAAGCTTCTGTACAGGTTGTATTGTCATTTACTTCCGGTTTTTTGGTTAACTTACTATTTACATTTTTTGTGTTACATATTGTGACAAAATGGTCAATAAATTTAACAGAAGATTGATAATTTATCTGTTACATGCTCATCTGATCACTTTATTTCCCTCTGAACACACCCAATAAGGATTATCTCATCAGATTACTACCCGGTGTCACAGCTACCGATTTGTCACCAAAGGGTCAAATAATAATTTCCCAAAAGTCTATGTCATTTAAATTTAAAATTTTGCATTTTCAAGGAGAAAATTCATTGTTAATTTAAAATGTGTAGTGTTATCACTGCATTATAAGGCCATGAGAATAATATTTTGTTAAAAAACAAACCTTTCTTCGCTTCGGCAGCGCCATTTTGTTTTGTGACCTATGACCTCAGTCTAACAAAACCCCGGATGTCAAAAAATTTCCAATGGAGGTGTGTTTGATATTTATGTTTTTTTTCAGGTGTGTCCAAATTAAAAGTCAACATTTTTTTTACTTCCGTTCGAAGCAAGATATTGAATATCCTTACGGTAATTTTAGCCTTTAAGCTGAGACTACTATAACACAGTGTATAAATATAGTCTCAAGTTTAATCGTAAAAATTGATGTCTATTTCATGATTTCTCTGTTTACTGTTGTTTGTATTTGTGTTTTATAAAGCACCGACTATTGCTTATTTTTTGGAGGGGTGGGGGAATGTACTTTGGGGCTTTTTTTTTTTAAATATTAATTTCATTCAGCAAAACTGCTCAAGATTTGTTTTCAAGTAAACTCAATGTTTTTGTGTATTTTTATTATTTCCCCCTAAATTCTCAAAAAAAAAGAAAACAAACTATTTTACACTTTCTTCAGAAACAAATTATTCGTTTTAGAACAAGTGATAGGTTTAAGATAAAGCATATCGTTTTTTTTTAAAACAATAATCGTCTCAAAACCCATATAATTATAGGCACCCAAAACCCGCATTAACGGGCCCTCGACCTGGCAACTAAAAAATTTTTTAAAAAAAACCTCACACATGCGGGTACTAACTAAACAATAAAAGATAATATTGTGTCATTGAATTCTTGCAGTTACTGACAGTAAGCTTAGAGTATTTAACAGAACACAATCACCAAGCGGAAAGGAAATTTAACAATGAGAAATGAAAAGTATAGTTTCAGGTCATTAATCTTCGTAACAGTCGGATATACAAACTGATATGGATATGCATGTATTAGGCGTGTTCAGCCATTAAAAGGAAAAGAATGTCAACATTGAAAATGAAACAAAGGTGAACCATTTCGTTGACTGATTCGATCCACAAAAAAATCTTTTTTATACAGGTACAAACAATGATTAACTTATTTTTTTAGCCCATAACATGAAATCAAACAGACCTTGAAAAATTCAATTGCACGTGGTCGCAATCTGTTTATATTTATGTTTATGTTTATATCGGGTTATGTGAACCTCGGCAGTCTTCGGAGGCCATCCCGATGGTTAATTAGATGGCGTCCTGACTAAAATACACACGAAATGTTGATATATATTATCGAGTCGATCCATGCATTGTTTATTGTTTATTTCAGACTTATTGTAATTTGTATATACATTTTAGTATGTTATAAATCAAATAAGAGAATTTGAGTCAAATCGGTAAACAAGAATTTGACAGCTAATGCCCCTTTAAAAATGCCAAATAAAGTACGAAGTTGAAGAGCATTGCGGATCCAAAATTCCGAAGGTGTGTATTGCTATTGCAAATTCTGACATATAATTTCGTGCTTACAAAATTGATATATATATATATATATATATATATATATATATATATGTATATTAACGAAATAACGGAAAATTTACTTATACATCGAATTTATTGTGTTCGAAGCAATTAAATTACCAGCATCGGTTCAAAAATAAACTTGAAGAAATGAGGGAAAAACAGTTACACAATCAGCAACACTCAAAAAATAATAAAAACAACAACAATAAAAACATGTTTATAAATGAAAGGTTTTTGTTTTGTTGTGAGATTCGTAAGACAGTTTTATGCACACATGTATTGACCATTCACATACGATATGGCTCAATCTCGAGGTATCACGCGTACATCATGAAAATGTCATGGTCATGCGTACCAAATAAGTAGGCTAGATAATCTGTGCATGAGTGAACTGGAAAAAAAAGTAAAGCCATATGACAAACTGTCTTTCTTGTCATTAAAGGAATATGTAAGACGCACAAGGTCTCATGGCTCTCCTGCATGTTTTACATTTTACTTTCAGTGTTTAAAGTCCACATTTGTTTTTCTAACTTTGTGCAAACGCATCCAATATTTCATTCTACTTGGATAATATGAAGAAAGAAATGGGAAATTCTTAAAATATGATACACAAGAACCTACACAAGTCTAATTTTACTGACCTTGAAAAATATCAAACTATTTCTATAACTTACTACATTTAAATGATATATCCATGAGGTCCTTTATTTGGGAAGGGGGAAGGGGGGTCCTTCATTTCTGTAAAAAAATAATTGGGGGGGGGGGGGTCCTTTATCCTGTAATTTTTAGGCAATGTTTCTCTATTCTATATTTTGTGACCATTGCTCTCTTTTGTTTATGAAAGTATGAAAGTTGTTTATGGTTCCATTATATTGCATCTTTAAAAAAAACTGACTCTATAGAGTACCAGTAAAATAAAAAATGATCGTAAGTATACAAAGATTGCATCAGATTTTATTTTGTTTAAATTGGAATTGTTGTTTCAAAGGATTTCTTAAAAACTATTCCATTAGGTCCAAATCGGATCAAAATCAAATCTACCACTCAGCTCATTCATTTTTTTGTCGGGCCTATATAAGATATTATTATACGCCCCGATAAACAAATTTACGGAACATACTCTGAAAGACCTGATTTTATCCCGATTGATGAGGTATTTACTGCATGGACCCAGTATCAATCAGCGGGTGGCCAGTTTAATCACCACGATTGGCAAATTGTTCAAAAATTAACATGCCCGTCTCAAATGCTGTAGCCGTGAGTTATAAATCTCGATCGAGTAAAATCGGACTTTAATGAAATTAACATTTGCTGCTATACTCTATCAACAAGCTTGCATGATTTAGGAGTAATAGCAAACAAAGCCAACTATACGGTGTAGTTTTTTCTCGTTGTTGAAGCCCGTACGGTTGCCTTCAATTGCTTACATCAACTTCATCTGAAACTCTGGTGTTTAGTTGTCTTATGTCATTATTTTCATAATGACTGTGGTCATTTCGAGGTCTAAATAATGTGCATAATTTGTGCGATATGTCTTCCAGCTGCAATGCTGTAAAATCAAGAGCTTGCACCTTAATTATATTAACCATCATTTGGTTTGCCCGAGAATAAGTTTGAAAAGCCAAATTAGTAAATGTTTGAGCGCATTTTAAACCGAAAAGGACCAAAGGAGAAGAGAACAAAACAGTCAAAAAACCGTCAAGGATTAATTTTGTCTGAAGGAGTACTTGATGTAAACTTCTACGTCATTTGTCTCTGGTGGAGGGTTGTTTCATTGGCAATCATACCACACCTCCTTACTTTTATATGGATAAAACTCATGAGCAGTAGCTCTTCTTTTCCGTGGCTTTTCATATCGATAGCTTTTAAAATAAAACTCACAAAATACACTTAATAACAAAGGAAAATAACGCTTTAAAAATTTAGTGCGCCGACCTCGCTTTTCCTGATTGACGTTCATCATGTAAGCTCAAAACGAAACTATCTATGATCTACATATATTACGTTTAAAAGGAACCATAAGGTATTGCCAACCCATCCGAGGTCAACTTTGCTTGATGGAGTAAGAACCTTTGTTTCTTAATCATTTCGAAATTTTGACCTTTAGATAATAGTCATGGCTTTTGAGGAGCGTACCCTCCTTTTCCTTGTTCACAGATTTCTTTTCACCAAATCAGGATACATGGGAGTGACAGGCGTGGAGAAACTCCCGGAACCGTTTAGAATGATTTTAGAAACTTGTATATGAACACACTGAAATTGATACTAACGAAAAGAAGCAAAACCTGTAGCCTTAAACAGTATATAATACCATTCACAGATTCTTTTTTTTTCAAATATGCTTATTTTTTTTCTTCAATAAATATACATAAATGACGGAAATAAAAGTATGAGTATAAAGGAAACAACAATCGTACTTTGATAGAAATATACCGGTTTAATATTGTGCCTGTTTATAGTGTTGATTGATTGTTGGTTATACTTAACGTTCAGTGGCAAATATTTCATGCATGTTCAGGACGATCCTGTGTTTATAGTTTAAATTTGTCTTATTTTGAAATTTACATTGACGATGTGATCATAGAAGTCTTCGGAGCAGGCGCAGTATAAGTTTATCTCGTTAGGTTATATACATATATAGGACTAAATGTTGATAAGACCTTCAGTGTTCTGAAATGACATTTGGCAGACGAGTTTAATAAGACTGCTTAGAATGGTAAGACTATTGTATATAAAATATAAAATGAAGACAATCTTTATATTTTGGTTTAGTTTATATAGAGTGTCACTGTGACTGATGATAATTGTATGTCACTAGCAGCGAGACATACAAAGATGTGTAAGCACGCAGATTTTTGATTTAGTGTAACATTTGTAAATGGAATTTGATGCAAACTTTAAATTTTAAAGGCACTTCGGACGCATGAAATAGTAAAGTGTTGTTTTAATGTTTTAAGTCACTAGAAGCGAGACGTATATACACACACGTTCAGTCTGAAACGTAACCACTGCATGTATGCTATAATTCTAAAGCTACTAGAATAACTCAAAAATGAATTTTACAGGACTATCTCATTGTGAAATTATTGAAGCGTTAGCAACTATAGTACACAGAAAAATGTTTGAAATGCGGGATGTTTAAATACACAGTCACATATGAAGTTTATAAACTTTTGTACGAAGATGCAAATAATGGTAAAATTAATTGGGCGTCTAACGTCAAAAATTTGTTATGTAACCTTGGATTTAATGATGTATGGATTTCACAAGATACTAGTATATTATCATTTGATTGTGTTAAAACACGTATTAAAGATCATTTTTTACAAAGCTGGAATACAGCTTTAGAAGAGTGTAACAAATTATGTATTTATAAACGATATAAACTAGTATTTGGTATTGAAAAATACCTAGATTTCCATTGTAATGTATCGATATTAACTAAATTGCGTAGCGGCACACTTAAATTAAATGTTGAAGTTGGTCGTTATCTAAATATTCAAAGAGAAAATAGAATTTGTATATGTTGCAATATGAATGTTTTAGAGGACGAATATCATTTTGTTTTATCATGTCCAGCATATAGATCTGTGCGATTAGAATTTTTACCTAAATTTTATTATTC